ACACTCACCCCCGACGGACGGAGGACAGACAGACTCAGACTCAGCAACAAGACTAGTAGCGAAGTGAAGATGACAGGCAGCAGCAAAGTCAACAAGCTCAGAGACTAAGGCAGACGCAGCAGCAAACTCAAACGACGGGTCAGTGACAACAGTGGCTAGCAGACGCGTGACAGTAGGGTGAGCAGCACGAACTAGGTAAGACTCAAGGTCCTCAACGTCAGGCAAAGAAGACGCAGGAGGAGACGGTAGGGGAACGCGCTTTGGAATAGAGGAAGGACGAAGTGCCATATTGTGCGTGCCAGGGACAGGAGGCGGACGCTCATGAGGAACACGACGACCAGTGCGACCAGCGCGAACAGGCGAGGCAGGACGAGATGCAGGCTTACGACGCTCTGTAAATGAGTGTGTCTGCTCAGTGTAAGGAGAAGGAGCAGGCAATAGTGCGCCGGGCTGTAACGGGAGGCCAGTGGAAGACGGGAGGCTAAGAACTTGGCAAAGTACGGAGTCAGGCGGTGGCAGAGACGACGGTAACGGCGGAGCGAAAAACAGTCGCGACGGTGCAGGGCCACCAGTACCAGTAGCTCCAGTACCTCCAGCAGCTCCAGAATCTCGAGCTCCAATGCCTCCAGCAGCAGCACCTCCAGCTCCAGTGACTCCAGCAGCAGCACCTCCAGCTCCAGCGCCTCCAGCAGCTCCAAAACCTCCAGCTCCAGCGACTCCAGCAGCAGCACCTCCAGCTCCAGCGCCTCTAGCAGCATTACCTCCAGCTCCTGGGACTCCAGCAACAGTACCTCCAGCTCCAGCGCCTCCAGCAGCTCCAGAACCTCCAGCTCCAGTGCCACGAGTAGCAGCACCCCCTGAACCGGCATCTCCAGCCTCACTGTCCCTAACTCCAGGGTCGACAGGACGCGGGCCCAAAGGACGCGTCCTGGGGGTGCTGAGTCTGCTGGAGTTCCTTTGGGTCTACCTGAGACACACCTGAAGGAGCAGGACCCTAAGGGGGGGAGGGGGTCTTCCGGAGGGTGACCTGGAGTGAGGAAAAGCGGCGGGGGAGGGAGAGGGGCAGTGCGGTAGGGGAACAGATGGTAGAAAGGAACCGACTTGTCAAAGGTGACAACCTGAGAAGGGAAGACACGGCGCGAGGTGGGGTGGTAAGACTGCCAGCCAGGCGTGTTAGGGATAAAGCCAAGGAAGACACAGGGAATGGTGCGGGAGGAGAACTTGTCCGCGGACGTATCGCGGACAAGGGCACGAGCACCCCAGACCCGGAAACGCGACGCATCGCCAACCTCCCTCGTCCAATGCAGTGTGGGCGAGGTCTCCGGCAAGGAGACACGGGGCCAGAGGTTGAGCTGCTGCGCAGCGTACCGTACCGCAAATGGCCACAAAAAATGGGGAGCCGCCGCATGAATCAAGGAGGTACGAGCGACCTCCATGATTAAGCCAATGCGGCGCTGAGCAACCCCATTTTGCTGTGGTGAGCCTGGAAGCGTGAACGACTGCTCGTTGCCCTCCCCCTGACAGAAGGCCCGCAAGAGGTCGGAGGAAAACTCACCACCTCTGTCAGAGTGCAGACGCAGGACAGGAAGGTCCTGGCGGAACCTTCGGCGGAGCCGGAGACGAACTGCTCGGATCCAAGGGATCACGACAGCAAGAACCTCACCCTTGGTGCGCAAGGGGAAGACCGTGGTGTAACGCGAGTAGTCGTCGACAACCAGCTGAAAGTACAACTCACCGCCTTGTCCACGAACGCGGGCTGGGCCCCACACGTCCTGGTGGAAGGTCTGCAGAGGAGCCTCTGTCGGGGGAAACGAGAAGGAGTGAGGAGCGGCGCGCTGCCGCTCCTCAACGCAAGGAAGGCAGGGCAGCATAGGGAGGGAGAGACCTGGGAAGACCAGACACAAGGAGGCGACGGTGCATGCAACGTAGACGTGGCAAGGAGGGGTGACCCGGACGGTGGTGCTAGAGAAGAGTCTGGTGCGACAGGGAGCGACACTCACAAGGGGAGGCTACCTGACCGGACGCAGACACCTGACCTGTAGCAGCTACCTGAGGAGGCGCAGTCGTCAGTGTGTAAAGACTCGACCCTGGGCGACGGGTAAACGTGGCCAGGTGGCGGCCAGTCCGGGAGCACGTACAGATCGCCACACGCTGTCCTCCAGGGGTAAAGGTGTCAACCCACCGGTCCTGGAGAACTGCGTTGCTCACCAAGTTCGTATTGAACGAGGGGAGGTGGAAGCCTGTCAGTGAGCCAGACGGAACCGCCGGGCACGGAAGCACAGTGGTGGACCGTGCAAGAACTGGGCCCCCTGAGGGGTCAGGCAGAGAGACTGCAACAGGTGCAGTGAGTGGTGTGAGTGCAGTACTGTCACGAAAGAAACAGCGGGAAGCACTTGAGTCAAGCGTGAAGTGCAAGGCCTCAGTAGGCCCAGTACCTGAGGAAGCAGACTCGCTAGCACCTAAGGCAGCAGCCTCACTAGCACCTAGAGCAGCAACCTCTATACCGGGGTCGTACTGCACGCATAGGTGGCAGTCACGCTCAGCACCACCAGGCAAAGCAGACATGGCAGTAAGGATGGCGTCATAGTCTAAAGCAAAGCTAGCAACGCCCGACCTAAGCAGCTCAAGCCAGGGGGGGATCTCAGCCTCGTCGCCAAACTCTGTGCACCAGGCGTCAGTCAAATAGGCGAAGCAGCGGGACTGTGCATGACCAGGTGTCCCACAGGTCTCACCAGCTCGACGACCTGTGCGAATGATGTACGGGTAGCGACCCGGACTCGGAGACGCCCCACGCTGGTAAAGCCACTAACGAAGCTGCCGGGGCGTAAGGGTCGGACGCCGCCGTAGCTGCATCTGGCCACCGCAAGACACTTTGCACCAAACAGCGCCAAAGTGAGTGCTACTACGGCCGCCACCACTCCCATTGCTGCCACCACCGCCGTCACCACTCCCACCGGTACAACAAAGGGAAGTCATGGCGGGCAAGCTAGGAGGAGTGTGATCTCTAGGGCAGTACGGAGTGAAGGCAGTAGCACGAGTAACAACAGCAGCAGTAAGAGCAGCAGGGCGGCGCGCGGCCAGAGCAGGGCGGCGCGCGGCCACAACAGGGCAGTAGCAGGTAATAGCTCCTAGGGCAGAAGCACCTAGGGCCTTTTTTTTAAATAATTATTTTAATTTTATTCAGGGTTGAGCAGGGCGCTGGCGCTGTCAGAGGTCCACTGGTGATCCCCGATTGATCCTAGGGAAGGGTTACAGGCACGTTGGCCTGGGGGGTTATGGGCGCACTGACCCGCTACTTAACAAGCCCTTTTATCCCAATGGTCTAGTGGTTGGGATTCTGACATGGTATCAGAGTGGTCTCGGGTTCGAATCCCAGTGTGTGCACTTCGGGCATCCCAGTGCGGGGGGGTGTCAGAGGTCCACTGGTGATCCCCGATTGATCCTAGGGAAGGGTTACAGGCACGTTGGCCTGGGGGGTTATGGGCGCACTGACCCGCTGCTTAACAAGCCCTTTTATCCCAATGGTCTAGTGGTTGGGATTCTGACATGGTATCAGAGCGGTCTCGGGTTCGAATCCCAGTATGTGCACTTCGGGCATCCTAGTGCGGGGGGGTGTCAGAGGTCCACTGGTGATCCCCGATTGATCTTAGGGAAGGGTTACAGGCACGTTGGCTTGGGGGGTTATGGGCGCACTAACCCGCTACTTAACAAGCCCTTTTATCCCAATGGTCTAGTGGTTGGGATTCTGACAGGCGCAGGGCAGGGCGTTGGCGCAGGGCAGGGCGCTGGCGCAGGGCAGGGCGCTGGCGCAGGGCAGGGCGCCAGCGCGCGCAGGGCAGGTCGCCAGCGCGCGCAGGGCAGGGCGCTGGCGGAGGTGCTTGCGCAGGCTGTAGCAGTGCGTGATGCGAGGGGCAGCAGAGCGCGACGCGACGGGCTGCTGCAGAGCGCGACTCGTGGGCTGCCTTAGGGCGCGACGCGCGGGCTGCAGTAGAGTGCGACGCGCGGAGCAGCAGCGCGCGACGCGCAGGCTGCCGTAGGGCGCGACGCGCAGGGCTGCAGCACGGGCGTAGGGCACGGCGCAGGCGCAGGGCAAGGCACTGGCGCAGGGCTGGGCGCTAGCGCAAGGCTGGGCGCTAGCGCAGGGCAGGCCGCTGGCGTAGGGCAGGGCACCGGCGCAGGGATGGGCACTGGCGCAGGGTAGTGGGGTAACGCGGTAACCGTAGTCGGAAGCTAAGTATGGTGGGCCCGAAAAAAAAACTGTCCTACGGACCTACTGCTTTGAAACCATGTCAAGATAGCAAGCAGGAATGGTTGCATTGAAAGAAATGTGGGTACAAGTACTAACCCTAACTTCGGGTTGTACCCCATATGGGCTACCTCACTATAGCCTACACAGAACTAACACATATATAGTTTGACACCTCCCCCCCCCCTCTCAAAAATCGCATCAGGGTGGTACCCAACATTACTCGTCATCACGGCGAGTACACCAGGTCGGTCCGAAATATCAGTGTTACACAAAAATTCACTTTTTATTGTAAGGGCGCCCTAAAATACAACTCTGTAAAATAAGGGTGAACACACCTAAACCCACCCTTATAGTAAGAGCCATAAGGGTGATTTACCCTAATATCAAGAGGCCTGCTACTCAGAGTTTAGCCTTGCAAAGTTCCTAAGGGCTTTTCTCAGCCCAACACATGCAAGGGTGAAAAAAACCAGTCACCCTGATCGTTAAGAGTGCCTCAAACCCAATTTTGAGCCCTGGCGCTGCCTGTCTGAGTACGGTACTTCGCACATTGCATCACCTCCCTCCCCATAAACAATAACAGAACATCCTATCCAAAGCACATGCTTTTCCAGTTCCAAACTTCCAGCACGCGGCACCAATTTCACCACCTATAAAACTTACGCTTCATCACTACTTTAGTATCCCCCCAGCCTCTGTCATCATCATCACCACCACTATCATCTTTCCCCCACCCCCATGCCTCTCCGCCCCACTATTCCCATTCCTCCTCCATATCGCCTTCCTCCTCCCAATCTTCCTCTTCAGAATCCCCTCCCTCCCCCTCCTCTCCCTCCTCCTCCTCTCCCTCCCCCTCCTCTTGTTCCCCCTCCTCTCCCTCCCCCTCTCGCTTCCCCTCCTCTCCCTCTCCCTCCTCTCCCTCCCCCTCCTCTTGCTTCCCCTCCTCTCGCTCCCCCTCCTCTCCCTCCCCATCCTCTCCCTCCCCCTCCTCTCGCTTCCCCTCCTCTCCCTCCCCCTCCTTTCGCTTCCCCTCCTCTCCCTCCCCCTCTTCTCCCTCCCTCCTCTCTCTCCTCACAGGTACCCTTCTCGTGGCTGGCTGTGGCAACAAAGGGCATTCACAGATGCTGCACTCATGCAACGTCGGCTTTCTATGGAGAGACGGCGACAGTCGGGCCAGATTCTTGCACGCGCGCACCTCCAGCTCCGCAAGCTTAGGCAGCCGAGTGATGGAATTTGGCAAGCTCTGCAACCGCCTTAGTCCCACAATCTGCAACTTCTCGAGGGAAGAAAGCTTGCAGATGTCAGCTGGAATGACTGAGATTCCAACCTTGACAAGAGAGCAGGATTGCGGGTTGGATAGATTCACAAATGACTCTGGAAGATGCGTCAGCTTGAAGCAGTCGCTAATCTCCAGCGTCTCGAGCATCTTCAGCTGCCCGATAGACTTGAGCAGCTGCTGCATCGCATTGAGTTGAACCAGCTGCAAGACACGGAGCCCTGCGAGCCCACCAAGGGCCTCGGGCAGTGTTTTCAAACATCTGATCGAGCCAACTTTGAGCCTTTGCAGCCGCGAGAGTTGAGAGATGGAGACAGGAAGAGTGTCTAGCTCATTCATCTTCGAGACCTTCAGCTGCGTCAAAGCGGACAGACGACTAAGGGATGGACCAAAGGTCTCAACACCGAGCTTCTTCATCTTGAGGCTCTCAAGGGAAGGAAGCAATGCGCGGCTGCCGCTCGTGCTGCCAGTGGTGATCAGAAAGCCTCTGGCAGTACGTATGTGCACCTCCTCATCCCCTAGAACCACCCTTAGTGCACCGCACGCCCGCACTTTCAGCAATCGAAGATAGGGCAGCTCAAGAAGCGAAGAAGGGAGAAACATCAGAGCGCCCATTCCAAAGATCCTGACCTCCTCGAGCGCCTTCAGCCATCCGATTTCCTCTAGCAAGACCGTTACATTAGGGCAATTGCCGACTTCCAGGCGGGTGAGGGAATCAACGCCTGAGAAGGAAGCCGGAAGGGCGGACAGGCATGGCAGGGAGTCGAGTGATAGCTCCTTGAGGCTATTCAAGCACCCACATCCATCTAGCAGCGCTCCTCTAAAGTGCTTCGCGTTTTGAATCATGAGCGTTTCGAGAGACGTGAGCTCGGAGAAGGATGGAGGAAGGCGGAGTGAGTGTCGTGCAGTCCATTAGATGCACATGGCGCAAGGAGCGCATGCCCTTTCCCATGTCGACTGGCAGCCCCGTGAGGAGCGGGCAAGAGTAAACCTCCAGGTCTTCGAGAGAAAACAGCTGGGATAGGGAGTCCGGGAGCTGCTTCAGCTGCTTACAGTCCAAAAATCTTAGCTCTTGGAGAGCTGTCAACTGTCCGAATGTTTTAGGCAGCTATGTGAGCTTTTGAAGGCCTCTCAGAGACAGTTTCTCCAAAAGAAACCAGCTGCCCAAACTCCTGGGGCAGAATTGTCAGACGCCAAAAGTTATTAAGAGAAAGCTCTTGAAGAGTGGTAATCAAGGCAATGGAATCGAGTAAGGCTGTGAGGCTCATCATGTCCAACACGAGTGACCGAAGCACTGACAACTGCCCGAAATCTTCGGGCAGCACTGAAAGTTGTCCAATCTCAAGGTTGAGTTCAGTAAGCGCAAGCAGGAGGGGAAGAGACACGGGCAGAGACGTGATATCACTGCAGCACTGGATGGTTAGAGTCTTGAGCCGCTGCAAATGCTCCCCATCCGCAACCAAGTCGCGCATCCCCGTCACTTCAACCAAGACGAGGGTTTCGAGTGCCCCCAGTTGACCAAAATCGACTTGCGGCGGTAGAAGAATCTTGCAATTTCGAATCTCCAGGACGGCGAGAGAAGAAATCTTGGTGAAACAGGCCGGCAGCTGCAACGTCGAGCAGTGACTCAAGGAAAAACGGTTCAGAGCGGTAAGCTGCCCGAAAGATTCCGGAAGTGACGCCAAGCGGCTCTGGTGGAGCTCCAGCGACGTTAGAGAAACCAGATTGCCAAAATCTGGAGGCAAAGTCTCAAGATTGCAGGTGTTGAGCACAAGGGTTCTGAGAGACTGCAATGAGGTCAGTGTGTCGGGAAGACGATTGACGCTTGATACGAGGCGCAGGCGCTTGAGTAGCGTGAGTCGGTCGATCGACGAGGGAATGGCAGCATCTGGCGAGCAATGAACATCAAGATCTTCCAGCCGCGTACACCCTTCAAACAGTACAGCGAGGCTCTTCTTTGTTACGTCCCCGCGACCGGAACTATGTGACATCTTTTTGACACGAAGCTCGGTCAAATGATGACACGTGCTAGCGAGGTGAGAGAATAAAAAATGAGAGGTGGAGGTGAGGCTTTTATAGTAAGGGAATAGCTTTCTGAGGTTTGGGAACGAGGACAGAAGTTGAACGAATCGACCCAAATCCATACGGAGAAACATGGGCAAGTAGAGCTCGTACAGCGTGCGGTACGCAACGCGAAGCCATTTCTTGCACACAAGTGCGTGCTCAAACTGCCTATCAGGTCGAACCAGAAAATAAAATATTCGAGAAAGCAGCTCCTCTGGTAGCCGCTGGATCGGCGATCCGACAGACATAGTGAAAGAAGGAGAACCGCGCTCACCCCGCGGTGAGATTAATGGCTGCTCGCCCCGCTCAGTTTGCTACTATTGCAAGGGAATGAGACGAGACAAGGGAGGCACCAGTCCACTCAACAAGAAACCCTAGGGCTTGTAAGTTGCACCGCACTCAAATGCTAATTGTTCTCTTCCCGCCAGATTCTTCCACGTAACCATAATTGCGAATGGACGACCCCATAGGATTTGTTTTCTCCCGATTGGGCCCAGTTCGGTAGATTTGTTTTCTCCCGATTGGGCCCAGTTCGGTAGGTTGAAGGTTGTATATTGATCATAATCAGATACAAGGTTGAACAAAGCAAATTGAACATGGCAAACAAGCCAACCCCCTATGAGAAGGTGCGCAAAACCCACGCTATTCAAGTGTCCCGTAGAACAGCCTCCTGGAGGGAGGTTTGCTCTGAACTTAAAGTGGAAAGAATTTTAAGGAGGTCTAAAAGAATCGTTGAGCAGCCAAGAAGCTCTTAAGTCAGGATGAATGCGCAGCATGCCATCAAACGACATGTTAATGAAGCGAAGTTTCGTAGCCCGGGAGATACAAGACGCTGAGCGGCGCTGCTTTTTGAGAGATTGTCTGGAGCTGCGCCAAAGGAAAATTTTGAAGGCAATGAGGAACTTAGCGAGGATGAGTTGGAGAATTTCGAAAGGGGTGGTAGACACGTCATGATATCTCCGATCACACCAATTATTCCATATAACCTTAGCCGCAGCGCCAACGAGGAGATTCCAAGGGACTGTTTGACCAACTCTTGAAGCGAGTGGAAAATAGACTTGCTCTGTGGAGAGATGAAGTCCGAGGTGGCGACGAGCAACTGCGCACAAAGCTAGGGTCGCAAGAACCGCTACTGGACATTCAAAGAAGAGGTGCGAGAGCGTCTCCAACGAACCAATCTGGCAGGAGGAGCAAATACCCCGATCAGCAGCAAAGGTGAATTGGGATCCTCTCGGGAGCGAGCGAATATAGAAACGGAAGAGCACGTCCCTCTGTAGGCCCGGCTGGTCATGAAGGAAAAGGTGAGAGAGGTCAGGAAGGTGAGGAGGGGGAGGGCCGGAAAGAGCCGCTGTCCACCGAGTATCGTGATCAACAGGTTGCCGCTGGTAGAGAAGGCGTCGGATGGCTGCGAGGGAGGGGGTTCCCTCAGCGAGAATCTCCAGACGCGCTCCAAGCCCTGCACCTTCGTAAAGAGGCCCAAATAGCCGTCGTCCCTGTACATGAGCACACATAATATGCGAAATATCAAATGTGGAAATACAAATTAATTCTCTCTGAATGAGAGAGTCCTTAGAGACCTGAAAGATACGTGCGGTGAGCTGACAAGGTGGGGAGAAAGAGACAGCTTCAAAGGCAAGGGAGGGTAGTGTAAGGGGGGTAGTAACAGGGAAAAACCAATCCCCAGCTGCCACATGGGGTGAAGGGGGATTGGAGAGTAGGATTTTCCACTCACGAGAAATGGCTTCAAGGATCTCGTAAAGAATTTTGCGGCCAGCAGGGTAGTCAGAAGGTGGACAGTGCTCAATGAATTCCTCTTCAGTGATGGGGCGAGCAGCCGAGGAGGTAGAGCGGAAAATATGCCCTATTATAAGTTGAAGTGAGAGAAGAAAGCGTTCCCCCTTAAAGGTACCGAAAGGAATCTTGTTGGGCTTGAGAAGTGACCGGTTAAAAGCAATAGGTTCATTCAGAATACAACACGGATCAAGTCGGGGAGGATGGACGATAGGTTTGAGAGACAAGAAAGCCGAGAGTTCATCCCGGAATCGCGGGGGAGTGGAGGGGGGCAAAATACCCAGACGAAGAACGGCAGCATGTGCAAGAAAAGCGTGAGGCCCGTAGGGTAAAGGGATGCATGTACGGGCTACCGACTCCGCGGAGGAGGCTCCAAAACGGCGTAGGGCATGCTGTATCGAGAGGGCTCGTATCTGAGTGGAGGGGGCCATTGCACCTAAACCACCATGCTTAACCTGGTTGAACAAGATTCGTTTGGGCAATAGTTGCGTAGTACGACCATGTTCTTTGAATTTTGACGATCTGAGGAACGTATTTATTGTACGATCAAGAGCCTTGCAAATCTCTGCAGGAGCTGGTTGGAAGCGAGCAGGGAAGGAAATCACGGAATTAAGGTATGTTGAGTAGAGATATTTCCGACACGTGGCAGTAGTGTGAAGATTGGCGAGAAACTTAGCAATGCGTTGGACACGGGTGAGAGTTGTAGTCCACGTGGTGTGCCCAGGAGAACCAAGTTCTACGAAGATCCCCAGTATCCGTTCAGCTTCATGTGGGAGGCGAATTGGGATTTGGCCTGCGGCAGTGATGAGAGAGGGTGGGGTATTGAAGGGGATGATCGAGCACTTTTCCCAGTTAGGGTATTCACCCGATACAGTGGCAAACTAGGCAAGAAGGGCAAGAGAAAGGGCAAGTTCAGAATTAGAATTAAGAAACAATGTAATATCATCAGCATAACATGCCATGAGACGGTGTTGCATGGCAGAGAGGGCGAATCCAGGGAGGTAGAGGGAAGTGTAACGGTGGAAAACTTCAATCATACAAATGAACAGCAGTGGTGCCAGAGGGCATCCTTGCCGAACGCCAGTGTTAACTGGGAAGACAGGTCTTTCGTTGTTATTTACTGAGATGCGCGTAGATGTGCCAGTGTGCATAAGGCGGACCCAGTGGATGAAGGTTTCGGGAACACCCAAATGTGCAAGGCATTGGAGAAGGAATAGACGATCCACAGGTCGACCGTGAGGACTAAGAGGGGTGCATTGGTGAACAAAGCCCAGTCCATAATGTCGAGAGTATCATTGATGGTATCCCCAATTTTTCGGTGCTGAATGAACGCCGTTTGGGAAGGGTGAATTATACACGGGAAAGCCTTTTTAAGTCTATTGGCGAGGCACAGCGCAAGAATTTTGTAGTCGGCATTTATGAGAGTGATTGGGCGGAGGTTATCTGGCCGGGAGGAGTCTCCTTTTTTTGGAATGAGGACAGTGCGACCACGGAGCATGGAAGGGGGCAGGGATGTGAACAGGGTCGCTGGGGCAAATCTGGGCTTGTAGTGCTTGTACAGCTCACCCGGGAGGCCGTCAGGGCCTGGGGTTTTCCCTCGTGCGAGTTGGAGATGGGCTCAGTTCGGTAGGCATTAAAAAAAGGGCCTCAGTGGATGGGCTACAGTAAACCGACCACCCTGGAACCTTCTTTGATAAGCCCGTGAAGGGTTATCTTGGCTCGATATGAGCGGATCATCGCCGAACCAGACAATAATGGAATGCCAGCCGAACACCCCTTTAGACACTGGCATTTTCCACCAGAGGAATCTTCCTCGAACCCTATTTCCCAGGCAAATGGTCCATTTTCTGATCCGCCACACCATGCGGCCTCGAGGTCCCGCACCACACGGGGTATCAGTGATTCGGAGCAATCACACCTTGCCCTGGAAAAAACAAATCCCGGCATTTCTGGCCCCTCTTCGTGCCAGCAGGAAAATCACACATCTTCAA